GTATATATATATATACAGTGCCCTGAGATGACGTATGTTGTGACTTGGCGCTATATAAATAAACTGAATTGAATTGAATTCTTACAATTATTGAAGTTGTGCTGTAACTTTAACATTAACTGGTTGCTGATGGACAAGGAGAATAAAGATGGATTTTCACACTTCCTTTCCACATCTCCGATTTCTCTCTCTCTGCTTGTCTCACGTTTCCTCTCACTTCTCTGTGGGTTTTTTTTTTTAATCCCCCAGACTTCTCTCTGATGTTTTCTCTCAACTTGATCGGGAAAATCCAAACAAGGCCTGACAGCGAATTATTATCCAAGAAAAGGTGATGGAATACAGTGGCTGCTCTAAGAAGTTGTGGCTACAAGCTGAGATCCCCAGCGACTGCAACATTTCCATTAGGATTCGTTTCAGACGTACGTTTCACTGTGCAAAGAGTCCGTCTACAGTTTTATAGGTCCGTGGATTCTGCCAAGAAAAAYGTCTGGCGGTTAGTAAACACCAGACACGTGCTTGTAAATGCTGGCTGCTGCTCGAAAAACGCCACTTTCATCAGCTGCTTTGGCAKGTGACTTTTAATTTCAGAAAGAAATTCAGTATTTTCGAAGCGTTGCGCATTTTGTTACGCTTTTTTTTTCTATGTTCACAATAATTCTTCCAAAACAAGAGCCATGCCAGGTCTAGTTTGCTTCTAAACTCCTCATTCTGGTAGTTTTAAGTGAAGAGCAAAGTCTGGCTCTAATTATTTAAACATGTCCTGTTTACATTTTATGTTTGACCTGATTAAACTCAATGTTTTAAATAAAAAAATAAGTAATTGCAGAAATAAAATGAGAAAGTGAAACAAAGCAGTTGATTAAAATAGAAAAAACACAAGTCTTTAAACAAAATTCTACTATTTAACAGCTTTTAAAACATTCAGTTGCATTATTAACAGGAAATCTTCTCACGTTTTGTGAATTTATCTCACTGTGTGTGTTTTCCAAGAAACTCAGTCAAGTTGGTGACCTAGTTTATTAAGCCAAGTTTCTTTGCTGTTTTTTATGTGTTTGTTTCCTTCACCTCACCCAAAGTGTCTGAAGTGGGTGGAGCTGACACTTGACAGATGCCATTTGGTTCACATAAACACAGACGCTCATGCGGAGCCAGATTCACACACACAGGATGTGGAGTTGTGAGTCAAACCATAAAAAGTGAAGTGGTACCATCAGATTTACTGGGCGCCTCAAAGTTTGAGAAACAAGAGTGCACCAGTGCAACTTCGAAACAAATCCTGATGCTTCCCTAAAGTGCTTCCACACTTTTTTATCATTACATATATTAAAAAACAAAACGAGCAGGTGAAAGAAAATCCGAGTCAGTAGAAATGTGCAACATTACCAGTTTCTGAGAGAAAACTGAAGTGCCGAAGCACACTTCCTCTTTTCAGCATTCTCCATCTGTCTCCTGTTACCTCAAACACGAAACACGAAAGACTGACGCATCAACCTATTTTAGACAAAATGTGCCTTAACTTATAGCTAGCTGTTACTATTACTGTATCCATCTGAAATAAATTAGTTAACATCATCACCTAACAGCTGTGAATGTTTGGTCTCAGAAAAATCTACCAAGAGTTGAACATTTATATTCTTGTTATATTCTTAACCCTGACCCCAAATCTTATGGCTTGAACATTTTATCTCCATTTCATTTCCAACTTAACCAACCTCTTACAAAGAAGACAGTTTTGATAGATTTTTTTCAGTATTTCCAAAGTTAAAAAAACACAGTAACCATGTTGTTCAACCTCAAACCAGCATAATTCCAAGAAATATTTCAACATCTGCAAAAAGTGTTCTAAAAACATAGGCGTTTCCTCCCGACCTTTTTCTAAGAACGAGTTAAGAACAAATCCAGAGTGTGTCGCAGTGCTTCATTTCATCATAGATTAATATCAGCCTCTTTTTTTTCTAATTGCTGATCCAGGAGGCAGTTTGAGAGATGTCTCTTTCAAATTTCATAGAAAGTCAAGGCCAGTGCAGAAAACTGGAGGAACAGTATTTAATAYAGCTTCAATCAGTACTGAAATAAAAATGTGCAACGCAAGTGATTGTTTTAAAATACCATGCAGAATAATTTAAAAATGAATGAATAAATAAAACATTGTATTCTTTCTATGTGTCCCAGTACTGGTCCTGGGCYCAGTGGATGTGGACAATAAATGCAATACCATGCAAAAATAATATTTTGTTAGGTATAACAAAATAAAAGTTATACCTAATTCAAACAGTTTATACTCAAGCTTTGTTGCAGCTTCAAAATCATCTAAAACTCTGTAACGTCATTTAAGAAGGAAAATCAAGCAAAGACACATATTTGATCAGTGTGTTGAGACTTCTACTTAATATTTTCCCATCCATCGCCAATATTTCAATAA